CGAATTGAAGGGTGCGTAAGAATTAAATCCGAAATAGGGACAGAGTTGGTGAAATTGTCCCTTAAAGTGAGGAAAATGGGAAAGAGGGTATTGGTTCCTAGTGCCACCATATGAAAATGTTTCTGGGTAGTCGTGAGTTCAACTATTCAGCCAGGCTTGTATATAGCCAACTAGTTTAATTCCTGCCACCATTAATAGCTTGGTCTCGACAAACGATCAAATTATTAGCACACATTCAAAAGCAAACCATCCCAGAGCAGATTGGAAGGTGATCTGATAAAACTGTAATTTAGATGGAATTTATCAGAAGTGTCTGAATTCTCAGTTAACGGCCAGGTGTTAGCCTCCAACCCTTATCCTCCCCTTCCCCCCTCCCCTACCATGCCGAGTTGTGCTGATTGAGGACGATAAAGAGGTGGCATTTTTCTGACTTTGTTGCTTAGATTGTGAGAAGATGGCAGCCTATGCAAAGGAAGAACGCCACATTAAAGAGGAAAATATCAGATTACAAAGAAAACTGTTGCGAGAGATGGAAAGACGAGAAGCTCTGAGTCGACAGCTGTCAGAGAGTGAGTCAAGCTTGGAGATGGATGATGAGAGGTAAGTATCCCGATCGCTGGGATCTGGGTTCTATTCCCGCAGCTACTGCATCCAAGACCAATGTGGATATGTCCAGAAAAGGTCTCACTTCGAGATTTTTCCGTAGTGACGTAATCCTAAGTTAATAAGAAGTAAATAGTCACCTGAAAGTGAAGAATCTTTTTTCATCCTCTGATTTGACAAAGTTTCAATACTTAGACACTTCAATGAGATGACTTCGCACGGGACTCAGTCGATGAGAGACCGGACATCATCAAGTCCTCTTCCCTTAACCACCAACAGACCCATCTCTCCAGGTATTGCTGCTTCTTGTGTGGTTAATGCACTCTTGTGTATACTTCATTACCCTAGGTTTCGTTAGCACACCCTTTGTAGAAGAAAGTGGATTGGTTAAGTGAGCAACTGATAATTTTTGTTTGTCGGATTTGAGGATATGCGCAGCTAGAACTGCAAGAACAACTTACTGACTTCTGTACTACCCAGAAACCAGCGGCTCAACTATCTAGCAGATAATTGACCGTTGGAAAACATACTTTTCGGGATGATGCCTTGGGAAGACTTGCTCGTTTGTAGCAATGTTTTGTATCTTTGTCACTTATTCTTGAAAGGAGACTAATACTTCTTTATTGATATTGCCCAGAAAAGTTCCATGTTTGTTACTCTTTTAAAAGCGTGGAAGGTCTTTTTGTTATTTATAGTTCGTAGAAGCAAAATGGATTCCCGAGATGATATGTCATTCCCCTGGCGTTGTTTTCTTTTCATAAGTCTTTGAACTCCCAGGAAATGAATTGCTTCACTTGTCGTTTTCTTGCGTTTCTAAACATTGGGTGCATTTTTCATGGTGCGATCCTTATATCTTAAAGGTTACGGCTTCACTCCACCTTCACCGCGCATGCCCAGATATCCTTCAAATGAGAGACTAAGTGGGTCCCATTCTTCCGCAAACTCTTCTCCGCCTACTCACACAGTGCAGGTATGAATTGAATGAATAATATAGAAATTGAACTGAGTGGAGTACAATTGAAATCTGATTGGTTGTTGTGTTTCTCATTGGCTGGGATGAAGATAAGATTTAGAGGATAACATGGTGCGATTTGTCAATAAATCGCAACGGTGAGAGCCAATCAGATTGCGAGGATCACCAGGTAATTCAAAATGGAGTTAAGAAAGAGCACTATCATATTGATTGGCTACTCAAACTTTGAATGTCCTCTGAGCAACTCCCAAGCGGGGATTTGCGCCCGAAAATATTTCATAATTGTAGGAATAAATTAGTTTAAATCATCTTTTTGTTCTACATCATCTCACTGTCTTATTATATACTTAATAAACAATTATTCACGTCAGTATCAGTGGTCAGCGGTGGATATTTACCACTAGCCACCTCCAGTTCGATGAATAGTTGTTACTTACCAGGTGATATTGCTGAAGACCATTGTTGTTAATCAAAAATGTTGTTACCCTAAGGTACAGTCCTGTAGCACCCTAATGAATAATTTAATAGTTTAGATGCGAACGCTCAACTGGTCCAAAGGAGAGATCAAAAATCAGTTAAGTGATGATCCACCCCGACAATGAACTTTATCCTGTCGTTTCTGTGTACACCGTGGCGTGACATATTTGCATATCAAGTCACCATAACACTTTCTACTTTAACTCTCTCAAACGATAATATTCTTCAATTCGGTTTTGTTTTTTTTGTTATCAGAGAGGGCACCGGACTCAGTCTTCCTCTGGCACGACGGCGCACGGACCCAGGCCCTCATCAGGATCATAAATCCAGTAAAATGACTGGGAACCCGACCAATAACAGATTGCAAAATATGTGTACCAGGCAAAGATCACGTGAAAACAACGGGAAAAATACTAGTCTAGTGAAGTGTTCATGTTTTATAAAAGGTTCCTCCCATTGATGTAAAAATTTCAATGAATTACTCTTAGAATAGCCAGGCAACTAGAATTATTGATGTAAATTTGTTGGAAGATGAGGTTTACGCTAAATTTTGATTTTTAGGTCGCGACGATGGTAAAAAGATATGTTAGATTTTTTAATGTGAAAGTGGTTCTTCTCCTGTATCTGTGTTCAAAAGATTCCAGCACCTAACCTGACTTATCAGGCTTATTGATTTACAAGTTCATTTCAGCATTTGTGACTGTATTAATATATATAATGATAATGATAATGATAGCTTAGTCCTTTAGAAGCGAGTTTGAATTGTGTGTCGGTCGTTATCGGGAATTGTTTTCGCTCGCCCCGCTTTTTGTCCGGTTCAACAATGTCTGTGTTGCTCAGACGAAGGGCTAACGCTCCAAAAGTCAGCTGAAACTCTTTACAGTTGCCAATTTATATTATCAACTCAGTTGATAAAACCAAATGATCTTGTGAGAGATAGCGAGAGGTGTTTACAGGTAGCCAAAGCTTGCGGAATGAGCTTCTGCAGACTATATTAATGTTTAAATCTTACCATATGCGAAATTTAATTTAAATTTGAGTGAAAATAACGTTACCTCGCTTGAGCGTTTGTTCCTTTGCGTCTTGTGAGTTTTCTAGGATGATTTCCAGCCTTCCAGTTCATTTTTAAGTCAGTTGCCATGCGACCGTTTATTTCCAAACTATTGCCTGTTTGCAACATAGACATATTGGCATATTTTCATCATTTTAACGCAGGAGGGTAGGCAGATACGGTTTTTCCGAATTGATACGATAACGAGTATGCTATTGACGTTTTTCTTCGATATCGATACTATGACGTCATTGAGTAGAATGGTAAGTCACGTGATTTGATTGAGGGAAAATAGGGTTATCCCGCACTGTTAATGTCACGCAGCACCCCATACTGTAGGACCATCAACAAGACAGTCAAAAATTTAAAACCGGATTAAGGACGTACTAAGTCGAAGCTCACGATTGTCGATCAGTTCACACTTGCACCGCTCACATGCCACTTAACTTGGTACCCTGCGGTGCTCATTGCCCGCAAACTCTAGCCTTTTTGATTCCTTATCAGGAGTTGGTCACCGAGGTGAGACAAAGCGCGGGCAGGTCACGTGTTATATGGAAAGCCTGGATACCTTCCGCAACTGTCGATATTTTCCGAGTAGACCTCGTAGACCTGGTGTCGAATGTTTGGTTTTGGTATGGGGCCCATCCTCAATACGCAGGCTCAACGTGCAAGCACTAGCCACCTGAGATGGATGTGGCCAGCATGCACTACTGTTGGGATCTTTCTCTGGAAATTCTTGTATTCTAATCCTGATCCAAATCAAGTATGTCTCTTGGAATAGACTGAAGTAATGCAGTAACATTCCGTCAAAACAGTCACCTTTGCGACATGAGCCTGTAATCGTGTTAACGGGATGGGGCCAAGGCTCACAAAGCAACCAGGTCGACAATCCGAAATTATCCCATGGTTAGTTAGGCATGTGTGCTCCAACAAAGCTGAATTTTCTTTTTAGCAAAGGAAGACCGCTTTTTGGTGCTCTTTCAAACGTGTACCAAACTGACGTATGTTCTGTCCGATATACTCGTGGTCGCACTGCACGGAATACTATAAATAGCGTTGGTTTATACACGCAATAAGTGTGATCTCGAGTATAAGGGCAGCTAATATTAGTGCGCATGTACGAGGACCTCTGATGAAGGCTCTAGAACGTTGGGTCGATGAATTGTAATTTCCCCAGTTACATTCATTTAATCGTTAGCATCAAACCTAGTCTGATGGGATGAGGTTAGGTTAGCACCGCCATTTTGCCGAAATCGCCGGAAAAAAGATAACACCAAAATACAAAAGAATTCAACAACCGAACTTGATTACTAATCACAGCGTTCATCTTCTCTATGTGTCTTCCAAGAAATGACGAAAACGAGATTCCTTGGAGGCGGTCATATTTCAGTGTAAGGTACTTCGCTTCGAAATACAGGGGTCCAAACTTGTGCAAGGTCCCGGGCACAGATTTTTCCCCACGGACCTCCCGCCGTTTAAATTAAATTAATATCTTGACGCAAACTGGTTGGAGTCGCTGGTCGTCACGTGAAAAATGTACCTTTGTTAGCAAGAGAAAACTTCAACATGCAGAAAAAGTGATCATCAAGAAAGACTGTGGTTAGATTATTAAAATACCGAAACTGCTGTGATAATGCTGTGATGGGTCTTTGTGTCCAAAGAAATATCTGTAAAGCGAAAATAACCTGTGTACATTGAAGATGCAATCAAAGCGAGTTTAACATAAAAAGTTTGTGTGATTTTCTTGTCGAGGACTGTTCAACTACCATTCTTGATTGAACAGCTTCACCCAACCTGAGTTTAATTTTATTTGACAGCATATTTTTCTTTACATTTCTCAAGTATTGAAATTAGATTCTCCAGGCCAAACAAATAATTACTATCAAAATCTGTTGATGGAAATACATGGGCAGTGTCGATTATTTTTGCATCAACTAATAGGTTTTTCGGGGAAAGCTGGTGCATGTTTTCCACTGTTTCAGACTGTTGGTGGGAATTCTGGTGTTTTCCAAACTTCTTTGAGCTGTTAGCTTCATATACAATTAGGATGGAGCTTGCAATAAATCTGAAGAGTCTTTGAGTTGTGAACCACTCTTTAATATCCACAAGGTTTGCAAGTAGCTGCCCCAAGATATCAAATGTCATCTCCAACTGTATACTTCCTAAAAACTGATGAAAACCTAGAGATGTAAGAGGAAATGATTTATCAACATAAATATGGTGATAAGCTACAAAATCATGAAATCCTAAAACCAGGAATATACCCCATCCTCGATTTCAATCTAGATGATTCAAATATGAAGATGTGGAATTGGATGATTGGAACTACTCAACAGGCTCGGAGAAAAACCATTGGATGGTCCTGGTTTCCAAAATTAATGTGAACAATTAATGTAATTGTCTTTGATTGACAAACAAGTATCAATTCCATGCAGTTTACGTACGTAAAATATCGTTGGAAAAAAATCGTAAAAAACTTTACATTTTTCAGCATCCTGTACTGTAAACAACTTCCGGCACCATTCATCATTGAAGTGTTCATGGCAACAAGTTTGGTGGTTGTAAACCTGATAGTAATTCATTACATATCAAACAAAACTAGGAGTCTTTCAAACTAATTAAATCAAGATAGCTACTTAGCACTAAAAAAGATACAAAATGAAATAAACCTTGCCATTATTTATGCTGTGAAGCTAAACAGCCCTTCACAAGTACACAACACAGATAATAAACAACACTCTTAATGTCTTAAAGCGAAAATACAGACGTGTGAAATAAACCTGGTCCTCTACGGCACAAGGTGAGACAGGCCACTACCTGTGACATACCATGAACTGCTGTAAGTGCATAACACAGCCATAGCCAGCCATACCATAGCCTGCCATACCATAGCCAGCCATACCATAGCCAGCCATACCATAGCCAGCCATACCATAGCCTGCCATACCATAGCCTGCCATAGCCATAGCCATAGCCAGCCATACCATAGCCTGCCATACCATAGCCAGCTGTACCATGGCCTGCCATACCATAGCCAGCCATAGCCATAGCCGTAGCCTGACATACCAAAGCTTGCTGTAAGTACATAACACAGACAAATGCAGTGCAAATGTAATACAACTATTTATTTAAAGCCATGTAGTAAGACAGCCAGCTTCATGGACAAGAACAATTCATGTTTACACTCATTTTTAACTCGTGGATTTGCAAAAAGACTTCAATCTGCAAATGTTCGTTTACTCACTCATTCACCCACTCACTCAGTTGTAATAAGTCGGCTCTGAACTCGAGAGAGCCCACCACCTGATCAGTGAGTGTAACAACTTCATAATGAAATTACTGGTGTTCTCTTAAAAACCTAAATTATATTTAATAATAAGGAGGAAGATCTAGGGATAACTCACACCTGACAACCATTGTAAATGGACCATTCAATATTTATTAAAATCTTTTTTTGAAACTCATTCATTCAACCTGAGCTGTGAAAAACCACTTCAATAATTTATACCTCAAAAACCTTTTCTTGAGCATCTGATTTCTCTTTATTGCCATGCATAAAGAGCAATACAAAATGTGACATTTGTGAGTTACAATTAACATTCTTTGAGCCATTCTATTTGATTTGTATCTTTTTTTTAAGGCTCTGAAAGTCTTTGCAATCATGATTGATAGAAACTAACATAGGGTATGTAGAAACTTTTTTTTTCAGGAAGAAAGTAACAGAAAGAAAGTTAGAAACTTTCCCTTGTGATTAATAATTCATTGACATAACATCATTGAAATATACCATAAATCCGAGAATGCTGAAACCTGTGACTTCCTTCAGTGGCCATTTTTTTCTTCTTCTTTCCCTAAATGTTTCATCTGCATGGTCATCCCATGTCACTCTTCCCATCTTAATGTCCATGACACATGGCAATTGAAACTTGTTTGTTATGTTCTCCAGTTTTAAATACTTTGATGTATCTAAAATCAATCATTAAGGGTCTGGTAACATTTGTTCAATAATTTTAGCCCATTACTTCTGTGTTTTTGAAGTAGGCCAGAAGGAGGCACATATTAAGTGAGACACTCCCAAGGCCTTGTTAGCTCTCTATACTAAACATTTCAAGAACTCCCTTCCTGGTGGTTAACAACTAATCACCAAAGTGGAGGTGACTTGTGGTAGCTATTTACTGAACTGCTAAAACAGTGAGGTAACATAGCAGAAAAAGATAATTTAAACTCATTTATTTCCACAACTATTACAATTTTTTAAATGCAAATCTTGCACTAGTTACTTGGAGGTGACTTATAGAGGACAATTAGAGTTTGAGTTGCCAATCAGAGCACACCTTCAGCCTGTCCACTGTGTTGGTATATTACAAACATATTTATTCCATATTACCCCTTTCCCTCTGATCTTTGTGGTACAAAGAATGGAAACAAAAGGAATGTTTTGATAAGTAATTGAGTGATCTGAACTACCACTCTTTGTATGAAATTTTGAAATTCTTAAAACAAAAGAGATCAGACCATTTTAGTAAACTAGATTGTCTGACATGTGGATAATGATATATAAACTACAACTGCTACTATTGTTCAGGCCAAGAATTAAGAAGAATGACAAAATGGAAATAAATTTACATGTCATGTATCAGGAACCTGACCTTTTGATGCTTAACAAGTCTCCATGACCCCACCCTTGTTTTTGTACAGCAGAGCAAATGATTGCAGGTATTCAAATGATCCCAATCAAAAATCTGGAAAGGTGTTGATTTCTTTTTTTCTGAAGTTCTGCAAATAGCTACTTCATCCCAAAATTAAATAAGGCTTAAGATAAATTTAAGTCATGTATTAGTTTTTGGTGCTGCTGTTGGGTTTTTCACTTGTATGCATCATTCTTTAAGGTGAAAATTGTCTCTCTAAGCCATTCACCACAAAAGCAGACTACTTACTTTTATACTCCAAAATTAAACCACATGTATGACCCTAATAAAGACTTGACACTTCTGGTTCAAATTCCCCTCCAAATTCTTCCCTTTGTGAGGGAAGGTTCAAATTCCCTACCCAGGGCCTGCAGAAAGGTCAAATACCATGGATTAGTTGAAGCTTGGAATTGATTGGCGCATTAAAATTAGGAGATAAGCTTCCAGTTTGATTTGTTTTCCTCAATCAAAATTCATGAAACTGTAAGATGGATGTTTATTATTTTTTTCAGTTTCCAGCTAAGATAAGATGCTAAGTAAAATGCTAAGAGACACTGAGTTCTACTTCCTTTTCAGAAAAAGGGCTTAGGATACCTATTTCCACAATCCCATGATAGTAAGGCAAAAGTCTTCTTAGCTGCAATATCTCGTCTCGTTTTTCACTTTTATTGAATACTGTATCATAGAAAACAACCTCTCTCATCCCCTTTGGAGGTCTCTGTATTGGTTTAAGGACACAGCCATCATCAGTCAGTTTCAATGGGCCTAAAAAATAAGAAATGTAATTATCTTAGGATGACTGACTGTTTATCTTCAACTAAAAATTCATCAATCTCTGGAGATCTTCTATTAACATTTTGAAAATGAAACGGAAATTCACACTTATATTTAAAAATCCAAGCTCTCACTGATCCACAACATCGATCATCAGGGTGTCAGGATAAGAAACTCAAACATTGATGAAATAACCCAGTTGAGAACGCTTGAATCGCGAAATTTAATGCCCTTTTATCACATTTTTCTATTGAAATACGCAAGCGAATTACCGTTTCGCCGAAATCGCGAAATTAAGTAGCAATATGTTAAGGTACGTGGGTGAATCGATCGCGCTAATTGAACACATTAAAACTTAAGAAACTTTTCGTGAGCTGAACTAGTACAAATTAACGAATAATTCGTTTGTCAATTTAACGAACTCATAGGGTTTCACCTTGAGCGGCATGTCCAGCCACCTGATAAGGATATGGCATCAAAGCAACTGCTACGCTGGAACTTCCAGTTGCCATCCTGTGACTAAGTCCTCGACCGATAGATCGGTCGATAGATCGGTCGATGCTCGGCCGAGTATCGGTCGATACTCGATCGAGTACAGTACTTCTATCGGTCAATATACTTGGCGGTTCATCGATACTTCACTGATACTTGACCGACACTTCGCCGACGCTTCACCGATGCTTCACCGATATTTCACCGATGCTTCACCGATACTTTACATCGGTCAATACTCGACCAACACGCGACCGATAGGTAAATGCTCTAGTATCGGTCGATATATCTACCGTTATAGTTCACCACTAAATTTTTCTCCGGTTCTTATTGGTTTAAATCGATCACGTGACGCGATAGTGTTCATCCGTGGAGAGACGTTAGGGAGTTTAAGCAAATCACTACGGCTGGCGCTGCTACGGCTACCGGAAGTAAACTTGTCCAGAAATTAGTCATTGCGCATGTCAGTGATACCCATCCAGCCGTAGCGGGAAATCCTTCTACGCGAGTGGGAAGGTTTCGACGTAGTCTGTGGTACGTGAACTTATCTCGCTACTTTCTTCGCTGTATACATTCTCCTGAGCAATTTTAACTATTGAAATGCACTTAACATCTTTAAAAATAGCTTATCGGGAATATTTATCAAGCTTGCTGTCCCTTACCGAGCGAATCTGCCTTTATTTTTACAGCCGGGTTTGTCGAAGGATCGAAGCAGTGTGCACATGGAGAACGCAGCGAACGCA